GACAGCTCCCGTAAGGTGGAGGTAAGTTGTGCCTCGCGTAGGCCCTATCCTGTCGTAGGGGCTCGCGAGAGGTATGGCTGGCGCACTCGGCCGGAGCGGCCTAAGGAAGCTCCATTTGTGTGTTCATGACAAGGCTGGTCCAACTCCTGCGTGACGCGGCCGAGAGGGTCCCGCGCTGGGTGCAGGACCGATGCGCTCGACAGGTGGCACCGTTGCCAGGGATAACGGAAGCCTAGCGTTGTCCCGGGTGGAACGACATCCGGGTACAAGTGAGCAAATAGGCATAAGAGAGTGACGAGTGTGATTGAAGTGAAAGGTGAGTGATGAGGGACTAAGTATAAAAAGGGGAAGTTAGCACCTGTATATGTGTATTTGGCTATTTGCCCGGTCCTCGCAAGAGCGTAAAGGGTGACAATGCTCATGTCAAGGGTAAGGCTAGGTAGGATATGCGGGCTAGACCAAGTTGGGGTAGGATGCTAAGTAGGTGAGTGCCTTTGGTTTGCTCTTAACAGGAAATTGAAAAAGGAGGCCTACCAAGATGCCGGAGGGTGGCAGTATATCGGATGGCGCTGGAAGGGTCCTGACCCTCGAGGACCTCATCGCAGCCCTAGATCGACATGAGAAGACCCCAAGTAATGTTCGTAAGGTTGAGACCTTCCGCTTTGATGGGGAAAGGGTCTCAGACTGGCTAGACCTGGTGGAGCAGGCAATGGTGGGATTGTCGGATGAGGTGAAATTTCAGCGTATTATGAGGTACGTGCTCCATAGGCACCATCAGGAGGTGCAGAAGGTTGTGGATGTCGCCCATGGCAGTTGGGCAAGGTTTAGGGAGAGCATGCTGCGCAAGTATCGGTTAAGTGATGGGTTGTTTACCATATCGGACCTTGAGGCGATGAACAGGGATGACTTTACCACGATAGGGGCCTTCGTGCAAGAATTTAAGAAGAAGGCAAAGAAAGTCCATGGGATCTATAAGGAGACGCAGTGCGCCATCTTTCTGGGACTGCTCACTGCGTCAGAGGCGGCCGAATTGACGAGTCATGGAGGAGGCAGCGCTAAGCTTACCTGGGCTACCATCGACAGAGGAGTGGAGGATGAGAGTTTAGACCAGGTAGAGCAGCATCAGATGCGCCTGCAAAGAAGGAAAAGGAAGGAGAGGGACGCTATCGCATCAGGGACTCCGGGAGTAAGGAGGATCGTCACTGATGTACTCACGGCGTTAGGCTACGGCCAGGATGCCGAGGCGCAAAAACAGGTGGCAGCCATTGTCCAAGGCCGAGGAAAGGAGGCGGGGGATGAAGGTGGCGGGCAGGAGGATTATGGCGGGGAGGAGACGAGGTCGCAGATCCTTACCAAGGCCCAGCGGAAGCAACGTAACCTGTTGTTGGGTGGCCAAGGGTCTGGCAAAGGGCAAGTCCCCCAGGCAGTTGCTGCATCGCCAGCGGCCGCCGTAACCGCGCCCGTATCGACGGGGCCAGCACCAATGGGGCCGCCTCCGGCCTGTGGACATTGGGTACCGTACTGTCTAGCGGCGCCCTGGCCTAGCTGTAGTCATTGCACCTCGTGTGGAGGGAGCCAAGCCCATACTGGACAGATGGTTCCGTTTTCGGGACCGCCAACGAGCGCAGGGCCGCCAAGTTTCCCGGCGACGCAAGGCCAATTCACGGCCCAGCCTCCCCCCTCACAGCAAGCATCGCAGGCTAGTGTGGCGGGAGGAGGAGGCCAAGGGCAAGGAGGACAGGGCAATGGTGGTCGGGGACAAGGAGGTCGAGGGGGTGGCGGACGAAGCCGAAATGGCGGGGGACGTGGCGGTAGATGGAACAGCCAAGGGGGCCAGGGCCAAGGTGACCAGGGCAGTCAGCAAGAAGGTCAGGGATATGGGAGACCGCGCTTTAACTGGCGGAACGCGACCTGCTGGTATTGTGGCGTTGTAGGCCACACGATTCGGTTCTGCCAGCAACGGCGGGATGATGAGCTTGCGGGCCTAATTTCCTCGTGTATGGATGGGGATATATACGATAAGTGGGGGGAACACATTGACCCCAAGACCCCGGGAGGGATCAAGCAGGAGACCCTCAGGCGGGCGGCGGCAGGGCCGTCGGCCACCCCGGCGATGTTCAGAATGTGGCAGGAAAGGGAAGACCCGGCCATAAGAATAGAGGAGATTACGGGGGATAGTGAGGAGGTTACGCAACGACTAAAGGCCAGGGCCATAAAGGAAGAACCGATAGTTGTTGAGCCAGATGACGAGGGGAGAGAGGATGAAGGGGAGCCGACTGTAACCACCCTGGAAAAGATGGAGGATTTGATGGAAAAAATGGGGAGGTACCAGCGGAGACTAAAAGAGCTATGTGATGAAGTCCAAGGGTGGAAAGCCGACCTCCCAAAGGTCTTCCTCTATGAGACCGGGCGAGGGTCGGCAGCCGGACAGCAGAGTAGTCCCGGGGTTGCCATGGCAGGGTCGGGCCCCAGGTCAGGAATGATGTTCAGACCGCCCACCCCACATGGGCGGGCGCCGCAAGCAACTCAAACTAGGAGCCAAAGTAAGGCGGGCCCTAGTCAGCCGCCAAGCCAAGCGCCAAGTCAAGCACCTCCGCGGAAGAGACCTAAGCCTGAGCGTAGGAAGGAGGTGGTCAAGGTCCAGGAAGAAGAAGGAGAGGAAGACGACAAAGAGGATGAGAGACTTCGTCAGGAGGAGGATCGGCAGACGGAGCAAAGAGCCCAGAGAAGGGAGGTTCATGAGAGAGCCGAGCCAGGTCTACAGGAAGGTGTGCCCAGGAAGAGAAAGTACACCGTCAGGTTGGAAGAGGAGTTTGATGTGGAAACGATGGTAGACCGGCTCCTTGAAGGTCATAACGACCTTATGAACTTAAAGGACATTCTGACATCCTCTTCAAGACTCCGGGAGGAGTTGAAAGGGCGATTGTCTCAAAGGCTAGTGCCCAATGTGCATCTGAGCGCCGTCCTGCCCAGGGAAGTGGGATGGACACAAGCGGGGACAAGAATGGACTGGAAGTGTGCGGCATGCGGATTGGTGGACTTGGTAGTAAAAGAGAAGAAGTGTGTGGCAATGATGGATACGGGCGCTGAAATGAACATCATTAGGGAAAGAGATGCGCTCATGCTTGGGATGGAGATCGACCGTGCAGATCCTGGCGTGCTGCACGGAGCAAACTGCAAGGCAGTTTTTTGCGGCACTGCGTCGAATGTGATTATCGAGATTGGCAAGGTGCGAGTGAGGACGTGCTTTTTCGTCATGCAGGACGTGGACCACCCTATCCTTCTGGGTAGATCGTTCATGTGCAGGACAAAGACCCTAATCTTCAATAAGCACGATGGAACGATGATACTGCTCCTGAGTGACCTAGCCTGTGGAAACTACGAAATCGTCACCTGCCGGAACACGGGGCCAGGGAGCGAGCGGAATAGGCCTAACCCCGGCTCATTCACCTATGTGGAATCGGAGAACGAGCGGCGGAGGCTCGCGGAGGAGTCCGAGGAGGAAGGTGGGGCGGAGGTGCTGTCACTAAGCCTTACAGGCGTAAGCAAGGCTATGGAGATCGTGACAGCACATGAGATGGCGGACCCAGAGGCCATCAAGGCCTTGCGAGAGCATGTTTTGGAATGCCCACAGGCAGGAGAAGTGGAGCTTATCTATCGACTTCCTGGAGGAAGGAAAGGGTCTGCGATGACACAAGCGCAAACAACAAGCCGTCTTTTCCTGGGGCGAAAGAAAGCCTGGTTCCCCGACTATCAGCTTCTCTTCATTTCCATCATTGATACAACATGGATCCTTCAGTGCCTGCTCTTGCATCCGCTGTATCAATCCTCGCTCCCGCTCGTAATAAGCCTCCTCATCTTCCGTAACGAGCACGAGAACAGGGCGACACTTTTTATGTACCGTTTTGTACTGCCTTTGGGCACCCTGCTTAAGCTGATGGTGCAATTAATAAAGAAGAGGCATCGCGCATATGCTTTTAATAACGACCAGCGTGGGAGGCTGGATGTGGACAAAATCCCGATGATCCGGATCCACACAGTCCCCCACGAGCCCTGGAATCTAAGGGGTGCGCGATACCCAAACCCTGATGAGGAGAAGATGGTGGTGGACTATTTGGATGGCAAGGTGCACACGCATGTTGCCGGCTACTCTAGCGGTCCGTATCCTTCCCCTTGGTTCTGCTTTATTAAGCCGAACGGGATGCTACAGTGGGTACAGGATCTACAACGACTAAATGCGGTAACGGTGCGAGATGCGAGAGGCTTGCCGAACGCAGATGCACTGTCAGAGTCATGCGCAGGGAGGCTTATAATCTCACTTATAGACCTCTATTCCGGGTATGATCAGTTTCCTGTTTACCCGCCCAATAGGCTGGTGACAGCAATGCACACGCCAAGGGGGCTAATCCACATGAATGTGGCCCCTCAAGGTTGGACAAATGCGGTGGCGATGGTGCAAAGGCATATGATCAGGGCCATGCAAACAGTCAGTCTGCACATCACTCAACCCTATATCGACGACTTAGCGGTCAAGGGGCCAAAGGAGAAAGAGGAGGACGAGGTGCAGCCCGGAGTGAGGCGTTTTGTTGGGAGGCATATCCAGGATCTCGATCGAGTCTTGGGCCTGCTGGAAGAGTATAACCTCACTGCAAGTGGACCAAAGTCCAAGCACTGCATGAGAGAGACCACCATCCTGGGGTTTGTCTGCAACGAGAAGGGCCGGAAGCCAAATGTGAAAAAGACATCCAAAATCTTAGAGTGGCCGGTGTCTTCCCAGACCATAACGGTTGTGAGGAGTTTTCTTGGTACCTGCGGATTTTGGAGGAGTTTCGTGAAAGACTTTGCCGCCAAGACTAAGCATTTAAGGAAGCTGGTGCGCCGGGACCAGGAGTGGGTTTGGGGCGAAGACCAGGAAGAGGCGGTAACCAGGATGAAGGGAGAGTTCAAGGAAGGAGGGTTGGTGCTGGGAGCGCTAAATTATGAGGGGACTAAAGAAAAGTCATTCATCATCGAGACAGATGCTGGACCGACTGCATTGGGAGGGGTTTTGATCCAAGCGGATGCCGAGGGAAAGGAGAGGCCGCTAAGATTCGAAAGTCGTACTCTTAACACGACTGAGAGGAACTACTCTCAGTTTAAGAAGGAGACGCTTGCGGTACTCCATTGCCTAAGAATCTTCCGGAATTACGTCTTTGGCAGGAGATTTATATTAAGCGTGGACCCTACGGTGCTTGCTTGCTCCCTGAAGAATTATACATCATCTGACCCAACCGTCGCCCGATGGTTGACGTACATTTGGATGTTTAATTTCGAACTGGAGAGGATTCCGGGAAATAAGAATAGAGTTGATGGCCTGCGCCGCGTCAACTGGGACAGTGTGGATTAGGAGTTGACCGAAGACACCCCGCCAGTCGACGGGTTCCTGGATCAGGAAGAAGATGTGCGACTCCATATAAACAAGTGGGCGGTGCGAGTACCCAGTTGTGTTAGTCATCCCATATGGATAGCACCAAGAGGATATGAGCGGAAGGCCGACTTAGTCCTTAAGCCATTTCAGGAAGAAGATCCGTGGGGAGGCAAGGACACCCAGTGGATGATGAAGTTGGTGCTGGTTGGGACACATGGCTTGGTGGAGGACGTGAGGACAATAGAGGAAGGGCCTACTCAGGTAGAGGAGCATGAACAGCTAATGGGAGGGATGTATCTGCTCACTAATACGCTCCTGCAAGGAGACCTCGACCGGAGAGGCTCATTTAGTCATGAGGAGAATGAAATCTTGATTCCTGAGAGTCAGGACGATGAGTTCGAGAAAGGGGAGATTGAAGAGGCATTTCGGGCGGAGGAGTATGATGGGATCTACTAGGAGTTGGGGTTGCTCCTATCATGTGAGATGAGAGATAGAGACGCAAGTGCCAAAGCGCAGAAGATGAGGCACCTCTACGTAGTAAGAGATGGCCATCTGTTTATAAAGCGGCAGGTCGGGAATCCCAAAAGGATTATATGCGGGAGGAACCGGCAGATTGATATCATAGCAGCCCTACACGATGGTATAGCAGGAGGGCACAGAGGGATAGGTGCCACATGCGCAAAGATAAGCGAGCTCTATCATTGGGATGGAATGCTGACGATGGTCATCAAGTACTGCCAATCTTGTGTACCTTGACAGGAGAGGTCAGCGCAAAGGTCGAGAGAGCCCCTGCACCCAAGAAAGGGAAGTGGGTGCAGTTCTACACCTGGACCTATTGTTTATGCCAGTTGGGAAAAATGGGTGCAATTATATCTTCGATGCCCGGGATAACCTTACTGGGTTGGTGGACGGTCGGGCTATCCGGACGAAGACTGGCCCAGTCTTGGCAAATTGCATCGAGGAGTATTACATGCGCTATCCTTTCGTCAAGGAGTTCGTAATAGATCGAGGATCGGAGTTTACCTGCAATGAGGTGCGAACTTGCTTGCTGCGTATGGGGTAGTGGCCAACTATACTACGGCCGCGCACCCTCAAGCAAGTGCTCCTGTGGAGAGGGGGCACAGTACCATCACGAATCTCTTGGCTAAGTGGACAGAGGGCAAGCCTGGTCAGTGGCCGAAATTCCTGCGAGCGGCTTTCTTCGTGGGGAATGTTACTGTGAAGAGGACTACCAAGTATGCGTCAGCCATGCTATGGTACGGGAGGCACGCCACCTTTCCTATAGAAAGCTTTATGAAAACGTGGAGGCGTCAGGACTTGGAAGTGAACCTGCCCTTCGAAGAACTGTCATCATTTCTTAGGCACGCCACCTTTCCTAGTCATTGATTCACGTTTAGCCTCGCATGCAGCTGAGCACCCTGACATTGAGGAGCCCAGCCTGCTTGGGCCATCATCGAGGCCAGCAGGCATTGAATTGAGGAGGGCTCGCAAGTTGTGGCTGGGGGAGTCACGGAAGCGGGTGCAGGAAAGGAGCCAGACGAAGCCGCCCAGGCAAACCGTGCCAAGGTGCGAGCTCGCCTTGCGGAGATACATGAGCGGAGGGACAGGATGAAAGCTGCAGGGATAGCGCCAACGCCACCAGTCGACCCTAAGACGAGTGAGCAGAGGATCAACGAGTTGTGGGTCAGATATGAGGGGCGGAGAGAGGCAGTTCGCCAAAGGGCACGAGAGACAGGCCGGGCAATTGAGGGTGCAGACGAGGCGATAGAGATTGGGGAGCTGGTTTTTTCTGCCACTAGAAAGGTCATCGAGTGGGTGGACAAGGAGATAAAGCAAACATCCGTCACGGTCTTTCAAAGGTACTTGCTACTTAGTGATGAGTTGACCCTCAGGAAAGACGAGGTGGAACAGTTGACTGCCCAACTCGCAGAGGAGAGGGTCGAGAACAAGGCCTGGCGAGCTCGCCTGGAGGCAAAGGAGGCTGAATGGGAGGCGAAGCTCAAGGAAATGGCGGCCGCAGTGGAAAGACTTGCCGCTACCAAGGTGATCGACTGGACTGAGCAGAGCAGGTACGACATCCAAGGCAAGGGGGTGCAAGGGTTGTTTGGCCAAGAGGAGGCAGCAGAGGCAGCTCGGCAAGAGAAGTTGGGGAAGGTATTTCTGGATCCAGCTGAGGCAGAGGCAAGAAAGGAAGCCAACAAGGGAAGCTTTGATTTCAAGGCTCCCACTGAGCTGGCTTCACAGCAGGAGGCCCCTACTCCAGCGGATACCCCTATGGAGTCGATGACCCAAGAACCCCAACCCGCACCAGTAGAAGAGGGGGCGGCTGAGGAGTCACTGGCGATCCTTCTGGACGTACACGAGGGGACGCTCACTGGAGTGATGGAGCCTCCACAGTTTGAGGCGCAGGGGAAGGAGCCGTCACATCTGGACGAGTTGGTGGCCGCTATGGAGGTGGATATGCCACCGGAAGAGCCTCGGGAGCAGAGGACCCCGGAGCACGAGCCAGAGATGGGGGAATTGAGGGCACAACTGGGCTCATGGGCCACTGGGACCGATTCGGGGGGACTGACTACTGATCAGCGGCAGCAAGAGGCCACGAGCCAACCTACTAGGGCCGCTACTCCCCAGACTCTGAGGCCTCGCGAGGGTGAGGAAGCGGCTATGGCAGGGGAAACCCGCGAGGGCAGGCCACTGAGACTGGATACCCCTGAGTACCAACCCGAGGGAGAGATGCAGCGAGGGGAGTCAAGTGCCCAGAGAATCGAAGGAGGAACTGAAGAACCATGGCACCTGCCCCAGAGTCATGAAGCGAGCAAGGAGAAGGAAGAGGCACCTCCGCCGTCAGGGACCCAGAAAAGGAAGAAGAGATTTCAGAGAAAATCGGAGGCTATGTGTTTCTATTTTCTGGATGGGGTGCATAGGGCCCTGGAGTGTCCTAAGTTCCTTAAGGACAAGGCTGAGGGGCGGGTTACTGAGCAGGATGGCAAGATGTACGATAGACAGGGCCGAGTGGTAGAGAGGGCTCCGGATGGGGGTCGCAGTTGTATAGGCAAAACCAGGAGGAGATGAGCGAGTAAGGGGCTGGTTTGCCTATACGCCAGTAGGGGTGAGGTGTTTTCTGTACATAGAAAGAGTGAGTCGAGGGCATAGGGTATCACGAGTCAAATAGGTGAATCTTAGGGTATTATGTACGACCAAGGGTCAATGTACAGTAAGGTTTTGAGGTTTTGTCTGTGTTGTGGTCCAGGGACTGAGACTCAGTTGTGTGATACTTAGGACACCTAATTGTATTGTTTTTTTTTTTTAGCTCAGAGCCCACCTATAGGTGATGTGAGAATCAGTAACACCTAGGGTATGAATCCACTGGATATGAGAGGGGGCAGAACACTTGAGTATTGATGTTGGGGTTTGAGAGATATTCTATTGTTGGGTATATCCCGAGTGAGGTGTTGAGACTACTTCCCTGTGTATGACGATCACTCTCACCCTCACGTGTGTGGTTTCCAGATGTATGATGATTTGTGTGGAGTTGTGTGACAAATATCTCATATGTTGTGCTTTGAGAATGGATGTAAACTGTCTACTCTCCGGTATACTCGTGCGACCTGCCTATGGGCGGATGATAGGGCCGAGTATAAAGAGAGGAAGCACAGTCTGTTTCGTGAAAGGAGTTGTGGAGATCCAAAAAGGATCTATAAATCCTTGGGACTCGAAAGCTTATCATGCCAAATGTTTAAGTATCTAAGTTGTGCTAGGGACCCACAAGTTGGCCCCTTGTATTGTATTGTTGTTATGATTGAATTGTACCCTATGGTTTATATGGGAGACTTATCTCCAGGAAAAGAAGATGTTTTACATAGGTCATGTGAGAGCCCATCCCAGAAAAAAAATAATAATAAAAAAAAATAGGTGAGGGACCTATTGAGTGGGACCTCCCTCATAGGGGGGGTGATTAATGGATTTAATGGCATGAAAAGCTGGGTTGATAAGATAAAAGACTAACGAAAGGAACCAGGTTTTACTAGTCACTCGGAGAAATTTCTTGAGAATGACGCTAGCCCCTTAGTAGCCGTCCCATAACTTTCCGACGCGAAAATCGGATAGGCGTCACGTGCGAGGCTTAGTATAAAAATCGCGCGGACGCAGGGCTACTCATATCGACTCGCAATGCAAGCGTACACAAGCGGTCGCAATGATGGCGTATTATGTAGTACGCATACTCACGTGGCCCTCATTAATCTCGAGGGTCGCGTTCGACATTCAAGTGTCGGCTGACAAGCGCCTTGAGGGGTAATCTCTCGACGCCAGACAAACGCCATGTGCGGTTGAAGACCACACCCTCTTCTGCACCCTGTGCAGAGGGGTTGAGTAGACAGCTTTAGGCTGTCGTGACGATCGAACATCAAGGGGTTTGACTTTGACGGCTGCCACGGACTATAACGTCCAACTAAGAAAACTCAAAAGAGGAATTTACTTCAACTCACATTGGTTTAGTGGCCTCCAAAAATGAAAGGGTTAGGCGGACTCAAACGACGCGCGCGCGGAGGAGGCCCGAACCCAGACCCCTACGTTACCCGATGTCCGAGGTAATGACGGTCCGTACACGGGCTCCCATAGGTCGACTGGGACTAGTCCTTCGCCCATGTGTCGCTTCGCGATACCAGAAACCCGAGTCTATTGGCCATATCGCGCTTTTGGTCTCGCCACCTGACCCATAACTTTTAGTGAAAAAATCGGCGAGTGCTGCGCACAAGGACTTAGTATAAGATCGTGCGGGCGCAGTACCCACACATACCTATTCACTATGCAGCTCTTCGTGAGTATCTGTGATGAGGGCGCATTATGTGGTGCCCATACCCAAGTGGCCTATTTTGAGCCATGAGGTTATCTCCGACGCTCGGGTGTTGGCTGAAGCGCGCGCTAAGGGGAGGTAACCCTTTAGCGGGCGCAGAACCGGCCTGAGGGCCTTTCCGTCTTCTGCACCCTGAGGTGTCCGAAAGGGTGCGGGGTAAGACGGCCCCTAGGGTAGGTAGGAATTTGGAGCGGTGGTGAGTTGTCTAGCGCATCACCAGCGACACGCTAACCCTTCCGCCCGGAACTTTATCGTTCCACCAAGATAAATCGCAACAAGGAAGAGAAAACAAGTACTTTTAACGCTTTATCAAAGAAAAACCCTTTTAGTGTTAGGCTCGTGACCGGAGGTCGCCCTGGGCGAGGACCATCGCATTCTAAGCTCATGACTAACGTCCGACCAAGAACTCTTCAAGAAAAGTAGCGGGGGGTCCTCCCCTCCCTTCTATTCACCCCAACCCTCGTTTGGGTCCTTAGTACGCGGTGTTAAATGACCATTCAATAAAAGTCCAAGTGAAACCCTGAACAAACAATAAAATCACCAGGGCTAAAGCCTTTTAGGTTGAGTATGGGGAGTGAGTAGGAATAGAGTCGTGGACTGACGAGTCGGCAACCGACCTCTTATCAACGATAACAGCAGATGGTCCTCAAGGGATCAGCTGAACCTAGTCCAAGTCCTAAATCAGATTGATCAAGCTGGCTTGTAATACAAGACAGATCATCGTCCAAGCTTAAACCTGTAAGCCATACGCGAAATATTTTCTATACGGTGGTCCCATCTAACCTTCTGGTAGCCAACTAGGTCTGAGCCTAGTCCTAAGTCAGGGCTCAAAGAAAAGGTAGACCTTTGGCTGGGTTTTCCCTATACAGAGTGGACTGTCAACTCTGTCACCTGTCATAATATAATCTAATTCCTCTAAACTAGGGAAATTTTGGCAGCGCTTCCCGTAGGAAAACTGCCTTTCCAGAATTTATATAAGTCTGAATATAAAAACAGGAATAGTCTTTGACTTTCTATAGTCCAACTTTTGTCTAACTCCCTTAATTAGTAAAAATTTGGGCAGCACCCCTTTTAGAAAGGGAGACTTCCCAGATTTTTACTAAGCCATATATAATTCAGACAGTTGAACTTTTGAAAAGTCAGAGATTTGTCTAACTCCTTGGATTTGCAGAAATTTCGGCAGCGCTTCCCGTAGGAAAAGTGGCTTACCAAGATTTATACAAGCCCAACTATGAGAAAAGACCTCAGACAAATGCAGAAATCGAACTAAGTAAAAAAACTATCTCAGAAAATGCAGGAATTGAATCTAACTCCTACAGCTCTAGCACGTGGCGAGTCTCTACAGCAACTACCTAACAACTCAAACTCATACTAGGTAGTGATGCCACTCAGTCACATGCAGGCCAAACCACAAAGGTAAGTACTCTCACCATCCCCAAGTTGGTTCGACAGACATTAGTTCATAGTCTTTCAATTATTTAACCCTTTACTCCCTGCTTACATAGGGCATTGGGATTGGTCATTCGTCTTAGAAACAATGCCAACCCTCTGCCTTAGTTATACACGAATAGGTTGCACAACTACGTTTCTCTTCATTGGGCATATGACTAAGCCATTCATCTTAGAAACCATGCTTAATCGCCCTGAACTGTTTAAATAGCCAAGTTATATATACCTTTATGCACCTTAGTCTTTAAAAAAGAGGGCGTAGGGCTGAGCCATTCGTCTTAGAAACAATGCTCAGCCTGCCCAGGTTACCTTCAGTTATAACTCTCGATTATACTCTCTTCGCTTGTGATACGTATATAAGTACATATATATATAACATTATAAAGAATCTTATTCCTCTGTTCTCATTATAGTCTTGTGGCCTCAGACTTAGACCATTCATCTTAAAAACAATGTCTAGTCCTTTGGCCTGAACCCCCCCTCATAATAAAAAAGTCAAGGAGAGATGAGTCATTCGTCTTAGAAACAATGCTCAACTCTCCTTTGATCAGCACAAAAAAAACATAGTACCCTGGGTCTAACCTAGAGATTGTTTAGAAACCACCCAAGCAAACAACGACCAGACCATTCGTCTTACAAACAATGTCTGGCCCTCAAAAGTGAAACAATCAATACCTCTCAAAAATAAGTAGCCAGGTCATTCATCTTAGAAACAATGTCTGGCACAATTAAAGAAACACAGCAACCAAACCATTCATCTTAGAAACAATGCTTGGTTCTTTCGAAAACAGAACAAAACACAGCAGTCAGGCCGTTCATCTTAGAAACAATGCCTGACCCTATAAGACCCATTCAATACGCAAGCAAAACTGCCTTCCTCCCAACCTTCCCCCTGATGCAACCCCTTGTGACAATCTGCCTTCAGACAAACAAGAAACCGAAACTTCCATTGCACAAACATTCCTTTAGTTAGTCTGATTTGTGTCAGGAAAGTCAATCCCAAAAAGTCAAAGTAGACGTTGCACTCAGCGTAACCAACCAATGCATAGGGAGAGGTATAGATAGGGGATAGACTGGGTTTATAAAGGAAGCAATGGTTACCTCTGAGTTCCCTGCCTCCAGAACTCCTCCTGAGTTCCGGCAGGGCTCCTGCAATCGGTGGGGCAACCTCCCACAAAGGCCTTGGCGCGTATTACGGGTTGCAATCCCGCCTGCCGCCCTCCTCTCCGAACCAATGGACTTGACTGAGAGTAAGAAAGGTAGCAGGAGAAACATTTAGTCTCTCAGATACATGAGGGGTGCACTCCGACTCGCATGAGAGGGCCTCGATGTCTTCAGCGCCTGAGGGCCCCGCAATGATGGCC